CCCAGGGGTTTGTCAGGGGACAGGGAGGGGGTGGGGTCCTAGGGGGAAAGTTGGGGGGTCTCTGGAGGGGACAATCAGGGGACAAGGACCAGTGGGGCTTAGATAGGGGGTGGGGTCCTGGGGGGCAGTTAGGGGCAGGGGGTGATCAGGGGACAGGGAGCAGGGGGGGTTGGATGGGTTGGGGTTTCTGTGGGGGGCAGTTGGAGGGAGTGGATGGGGGCTACCCTCCCTCCCCATGAAGTGTCCTATTTTTTTAATGTTAAAATATGGTATCCCTGCCCTTCCCAGTGCAGCGCTCCATTCACAGCAGGCTGCAGCATGAGGTCTCAGCTTCCTCCCTCCCTCCCCTCTAAGGGAATGCTGGGAAATGTAGTTCTTTCTCTGCTCCAGGGCTGGCTCTATAGGCAGGGAGCTAACCAAGGAACTACAGCTCCCAGGCCCCCTGTTGGTTCTCAGCTCCCATGCTGGGTCCCTGCCGCCCCTGCAAATGGGCTGCCCCAAGCACGTGCTTGCCTTGCTGGTGCCTAGAGCCGCCCCTGTGAAGAAGATGAATATAATGATGGTGATGAAGATGAAAATGAAGATGATGACGTTAAGTTGTTTCCGTTTAAGGTTGAGGATCTGGAGGTCACTGTGCATTCTGCGGGGAAGGCTTGGGAGTTCCGTTGAGTGTTTGGGTGACGGTCCAGGATCTCTGAGTTTCAAGGGAGCTGATGCTCAATGGTTGGGTTTTTATTTGGCCTGGTCTAGCTGCACACATACCCTGAACAACTGCCCTCCCTGGCCCCTTCACACAGTGATAGCTGCTGGATATAAGTCCTTAACTTAGACATGCAAACCAAGAAAAGATGTGCTGGGGTGGGGGCGGGGCAGATTCCGTATCTGATTCAGGAGCCAACAAATTCATGCAAACAAAGAAGAGAAACCCCTCAGCTCCATTGCCGCACAGTGGGGCTTGGGCATCCATATGAATCTGGAATCCGAGCTCCAGCAGCATCCACTTTACAAACATGAGCGACACCATGCATATCCTTCACACAACCGTCAATGGAGGACATTGTGCCTGGGTTCCAGGGATCCAATCAATCTGGGCTCCCCTGCTGAGATTTCTAAAGAGATTCAAGCTCTCCCCTCCGGCTTGCAGTGGGAGTTGGGGGACTCATGCTCTGAGGGATCTTGGCAGACCATGGGTATGAAATATAAATGGCCCTTCTTTCTGTGCAGGGGGTAGGGGTTGGGGAACACAAGTTCCATCCTGAGCCCTGGGTGTGGTGTGGGGTCTAGTGGTTAGATCAGGGGGGTCTGGGTGCCAGGCATGACCATGGGCAGGTCATTTGTCCTCTGTGTCCCAGCTGCCATCTCTGGGAAATGGGGATAATTATGCTGAGCTCAGGCAGGTCATCAAGCTCATGAATTTCTGTCTGGAAGGTCCCTGAGTTGAGCAACCACTTCAGGTCTGTCCCTGGCCATGTTTTCCGCAATGGGGCTTTCTCCCAAGAAAACCGGAGACGTTCAGATTTGCTCCTGGGATCCAGAGACCCAAATAACCATAATGGGACCCAGGAATCGCTATCCCTTGATTGGCTGGAAAATCTCAGCCGTTGTTCCCGCCACTCCATAAAATGAGGGTCCTGACTCTTTCACCTGGGTACCCAGTGCCCTATTTACAACTCCAATGACCCTCAGCCCCTTTCCCAAACAGCCCCAGGGCTTTGCACCCCTGAGAGAGAGGCACTCAGTTACCACCTGGTGTCTGTTGAAATATTTGCTCAGTCCAGCCCTCAACGCTGCCTCCTGCCCCCAACCAGATGTCAGCAACTGTAATTGACACCCTCTGGAGGTCTCTCTCCTTCCCCCTTCCCTGGAGGACCTCTACATAGTGCAGAATGCCACCATCAATTGTTTGGTGAGTGGCATGGAGACCCCCGGCAGCCTGGAGGTCTCCTGGAGCCGGGCTAGCGAGGGCCCGTTGGCCGTGGTCTCCAGGGAGCCGGTGCTGCAGGAAGATGGCACCTACAGTGCAACCAGCATCCTGCGGGTGTGCGTGGAGGAGTGGCAGTCGGGGGAGGAGTTCACCTGCACCGTGAAGCACCAAGACATCCCGTCGGCCATTGTCAAGACCATCCGCAAGAGTCACAGTAAGAACTCAGCCTTTCCCCTGTAGGGGGCGCCAGCTCCAATCCGGCTGCAGGCTGGGGGGGAGTGGCTGGCTCAGGGTGTGGGGAATGGGACACGGGACCTTTTGTCTGTAGGGGGCGCCAGCTCTGATCCGGACACCTACGCCTGCGTGGTGGGGCACGAGGGGCTGCCCATGACCTTCATCCACCGGAGCTGTCATAGGTTTCACCCCCACTCTGAACTTTAGGGTACAGATGTGGGGACCTGCATGAGAAGCTTTAAGCTCAATTACCAGCTTAGATCTGGTCTAGCTGCCACCACCCAAATAGTTTGAGTCACTTGGGAAACTTTGTTTTTCCCCCCCAAAACATTTCCCTCCCTGGGTAGCCTTGAGAAACTCCTCCACCAATTCCCTGGTGAACACCATCCAAACCCCTTGGATCTTAAAACAGGGAGAAATGAACCCTCCTTTTTCCCACCAATTCCTGGTGGATCCAGATCCACCCCCGTTGGATCTAAAAACATGGAAAAAAATCAATCAGGTTCTTAAAAAAAAGGCTTTTAATTAATTAAAGAAAAGAAAGGTAAAAGAAAACTCTCTGGGCGAGATTAGCATACCAGCTACTCTCATAGACAACAGATTTAAAACACAGAGGATGTTCCCCTGGGCAAAAACTTAGTACACAAAAGAATACCCCATTTGATTATTTCCTAATGCCCAAGACAAGTTACAAAGAAATAAACATAAACCTATTTATTTCCTTCACTAATACTCACTACTTGATAAGAGGCTGAATTCTGGAGCTTTTCCACTCCGGTCAAAACTGAAAGTGATTCAGACAAAGGGAACTTCTCTATTTCCTTTTGAACCATCTTGTCCTCCCATTGGTTCCTCTGGTCAGGTGTCAGCCAGGCTAGGTGAACTTCTTAACCCTTTGCAGGTAAAAGGCATTAACCCTTAACTATCTGTTTATAACAGAGCGTGGACAAATCCTCTGGTAAACCCACTACCGTCAATGTCTCTGTGATCTTGTCTGACACCGACGTCACCTGCTACTGAGGAGCAGAGCCCCGCGGGCTCCTCACGGCGTATCTGAGATGCCACGGAACCTCGTGGGGTTTGGGATTCCTCTTAGCCTGTGTGTAAAGCTGTGGTAGCTCTGGTGTACAGAGCGTGGCGGTGTGTGGAATATGCCCAAATAAAATGCAACATGCTAGAGTTTGTGATGAAGTGTGTGTCTTCTGGCAGAGACTGTCTCTGTGTCTTATCTACCCACCCATGCCTCCTCCCACAATATCTAGATGGATCCATCCACCCTTCTTTCTTTCTCTCTAGCCATCCTCCTTTCCTTATGGATTGTCTCCATCAATTCATCCTTCCACAGGATCCATCCGTCCATCCATCCATCCATCCTACGCTCTGCAGTACCTCTCTCTTTGATTCTACCATATCCATCCATTCATACATGCAAAATTATGCAGTGTCCTCTCTGCATCCATCCATCCTCATGCAGTATCATGTTCCTACCTGCCCATCCCTCTGCAGTGAGTTGCTATCCACCCATTATTATTCATGATAGTGCAGCTCCTAGATGTCCTGACTGAGGTTAGGGCCCTGTTGGATGGTCATTGCACGAACACACATAGAGCAAACGTCCTGGAACCAAGGAGCTGATAGTCTAAGCAGAGAGAGGCTGGGAGGGGATATTTTGGCACAAAGGGATTAAAGTTGGGGCACTAAAAAGGAGTGAGACACCGAACTCCCACGGAACTTGTGAGTTTATTTTATGGGCACCTAATATCCTAAGAGTCCTTTAAAGACCCCAGCCTAAGTGGCTTGTCTCTGGTCACACTGCAGGTCAGTGGGAGAGGTGGGAATCGAGCCCCGATCCCCCATCTCCAAGACTTGTTGGTTAACCATTGCTCCTGTCTAGCAATGTAGCCCTTGCCACTCTGGCGTCAGAACTCCTCGGAGATGCGTCCTCACCTGACCACCATAAGGTGCAGAGGCAGAGCCCCCAGGAATCTGGTGTTATGTCTGCAGGGAGCTAGGCGGGAGGGTGAGACTGAGTTAGGAGCCTCCATTCCCACCAGCTCTGTCCCTGGATGTATGACCATGGGGTGGTGTGCAGGGGAAGTGATTTCACCTCTGTGTACGGGGTTAGGGAGACCGATACTGGAACACAGCATTCAGTTCTGGAGTCAACATGCAGTGACAGTCAGAACAGGTTACAATGGTAGGAACCATTAGGAAAGGGACAGATAACACTGGTCTACAATTTTTGAGAAGTCGTCTGCTTCAGAGATAAAATGTGCTATTTATTATGTATTTTGATGTGCTGAATTCAAATATGACAATTAAAACAACTGATTGACTACTGTTTCT